GTTGGACCATAAAGAAGGCTGAGCTGCTTTTGAACTGTGGTGCTGGAGTAACCTCTTGAGAGTCCCTTGGACAGCAAGGAGATCAAACCAGTCAATCCTACAGGAAATCAACCCTGAATGTTCATTGGAAGGACTGATGCTAAAGCTCCAGTACTTTGGCCACCTGATGCGAAGAGCTGACTCATTGGAAAAGATCCTGGTGCTGGGAAAGATTGAAGGCAGGAGGAGAAGGGGATGACAGAGGATGAGATGCTTGGATGGCATCACTGACTCAATGGACATGAGCTTGAACAAACTCCGGCAAATAGTGAAGGACAGGAAAGACTGGCGTGCTGCAGTCCATGGGGTCACAAAGAGTCAGACTCGACTTAGCGACTGAACAACAGCCAGGGAGTAGTGACATTTTTATGACCCACCAGGAGGCAGAGAAGATGAGGAACATCACCCCACACCCTATGCTCCCGCAGTGCCCTGGGGGGTGGGGTTCACCTTTTGTTCTCACTCCCTTACAGGTTGGATTAGTGTAGCCTGTGGGGAGGCTTGGCCTAAAGAGGGGAGGCCTCGCTGGGCATGCCTGACCCTGGAAATCTTATAGAGGAGGTGCCACTGCTTCTTAGGGAGCTGGTGGTGAGATAGACCAACCAGCCCCTGTCTTGGAAGGCCCCGACTGGACCACATTCTCTGCAGGAACAGAGACTGAAATACAGCCAGCCCTGGCATAGGACGCTGATACCCATGTTGAACCCTGTGGTGGGCCAGAAATTTATGATGTGGCGGTGACCCACTGCTGATCTGGGGGAAACTGACATATCCTAGGAATGGGTAGGGGCTTTGGAAAAACCAAAGACAGAAAGGGAGCTTTAAAAGCTATCCCAAACAGCTGTTGAGGATCTGGTAAAAGTATTAATAACCTGAAAGCAAATGTTGTTTGACCTCACGGCTGCCAGGATCCACCTGAAATGCAGTGTTGGTCTACTGTGAAAACCTGAACAATGCAGACATACCCACCTGCCCTGACCACCTCCGATGCCCCACCTGCTCCAGCAGAGACCTCAGGGATACAGCCCTCGTCAGGGTAGGTAACCCCCACACCTGGGGTTTAGGATGCAGGCCGAGATCACCTCCAGCTGAGGGCCATTGGAGCCACAGAAGACCTCATGTTGAGGTCATTATTCCCTGATCCCCTAGAAATAAACTAAGGGTGACAGCTCTGGTTGACACTGCGGCTATCAAGGTGTGGGTTAAAAATATGTTCTGTTGATCACCAGCCCAGGTTGGATGCATGAGACAAGTGCTTGGGGATGGTGCGCTGGGAAGACCCAGAGGGATCAGGTGGAGAGGGAGGTGGGAGGGGGGATCAGGATGGGGAATACATGTAAATCCATGGCTGATTCATGTCAATGTATGGCAAAACCCACTACAATATTGTAAAGTAATTAGCCTCCAACAAATAAAAATAAATGGAAAAAAAATATGTTCTGTTGCCCCTTCTCTCTCACGGCTCACGCTCCCACACTGACTGAATGACTTGCCCCTTTGTAGCACGCTTCCCTAGTGACTTGGATGGTAAAGAATCTGCCTGCGATGTGGGAGACCCGGGTTCGATCCCTGGGTTGGGAAGATCCCCTGCAGGAGGGCATGGCAACTCACTCCAATATTGTTGCCTGGAGAATCCCATGGACAGAGGAGACTGGCAGGCTACAGTCAATGGGGTTGCAGAGTGGGACACGACTGAGCAACTAACACTTTGTAGTACAAGAGTGCCCTCTCGGCCAGCCCACTGTCTCTAGAAACGGGGGTGCTCCTAGGCCCTGTGTTGGATGGGGATTCTCCAGATGCCCACTCCCCATTCCCCTGCAGCCCATGGGGGTGGGGGAAGCTCCTGCTGATGCGTGGTGTGTGATGATCTAGCGGCGCAATCTGTCTTCCATGGACTGCAGACTCTATTAGCCCAACAGTGACACCATCTGGATGGAAACAGGAATGAACCACAGCAGCCCACGGGCTGAGCTGAGTGGTCTGGGTGGTGCACACTCGGGGGTCCTGGCCCTAACCCTTGGCACTGATAGCTGGGCTGTTTTAAAGGGATGAATGCTATGGCTAGGACAGTGGGAAGCCAAGGGGCAGATGATCGTGAATAGGCCCTTGTGGGGTCAGAATGTGTGGAAAGACACCCTCACGCTCTTCCTTGCCCTGGCTCATAGGATGCTGTGCTGTGTTCTTAGTCGCTCAGTCGTGTTTGACTTTTTGCAGCCCCGTGGACTGTAACCCACTAGTCTCTATCCATGGGATTCTCCAGGCAAGAATGCTGGAGTGGTTGCCATGCCCTTCTCCAGGGGTTCTTCCCAACCCAGGGATTGAAACTTCTGAGGCTCCTTCATTGGCAGGCAGATGCTTTACCACTGAGCCGCCTGGGAAGCCCACCATGTACGAATCCCCTTATCAAACTGATGATGACCAAGGATCACATTTCAAAAGTCATGAGAGGAAAGACTGGGTAAAAGAACATGACATTGAAGGGGTTCCACCTCCTTCAAAGAAAAGAAAAAAACACTCTTCTGATTCTTACCATGGATCACTGTCTATGTGCTGAGAACATCATGTCCCATCGTGCTGGGAAAGGCGTTAATCCACTAGAACGTTCGATGGGAGGTCCCACTGGGATGGATGGGTTACTTTGCACCTTCAGGTGAGGGGGAAGCACTCAGTCTTTACTGGGATCCTGTTGTCTTGCTGCAGATGGGACCTGCTGAGATGCTGTCTACCTGGAATGGCACGTTGCACCACTGAGAGAGGGTGGGAGTCCTCCTCTGGCCTCCCCACCCCAGTGCTCCCCTCAGTGCTGCCTTCCCAGCCAACGTGGAGGGTCTGTACAACCGGATAGATGTCTAAACCTGCAGTCTCATTAACATCTAAGGATCAGGCCACAAGTGTAATATATATATATAATATAACTCATTTTATTTTTGGCTGTGCTGTCTCCATTGCTGCACAGGCTTCTCTCTAGTTGGGGTGAGTGGGAGCTACTCTTAGTTGCAGTGCGCAGATTTCTCACTGCAGTGGCTTCTCTCTTGTTTCGGAGCACAGGCTCTGGGGCACATGGACTTCAGTATTTGCAGCAAAAGGGCTCAGTAGTCGCAGTTCCTGGGCTCTAGAGCACAGACTTAGTAGTTGTGGCCCATGGGATTAGTGGCCCATGGGAGTTCACGTGCTCCACGGCTTGTGGGATTCTCCCGGACCAGGGATTGAACCTGTGACTTCTGCATTGGCAGGCAGATTTTTTTTTTTTTTACCCCTGAGCCACCAGGGAAGCCCACACAAGTGTAATTCTTATAGAAGTGGAAGACTTTCCCGTACAAGTTCCTACCAAAGATCTGTCTTTTCAGCATTAGACTTCTGCTCCTCTTATGGTGTTTGGTCATGGAATGGGTCAAGGATGGAAATACCTCTCTACAGGGGGCCCCTTGTATGCCTGGCAAAGGAATTGATCCATCTATTGGGTATGTGGGCAGCTGCCCCCTCTCGCTGGTCAGGATGGTGGGTATCACCCCTCCAGGAAGGGGATTGGAAAGCACTAAAGCAGAACATAAGGGAAGAACAAGCTGGAACAAGCATGCTTAATTCATCTGGTATTATCCATGCTGATCTGGACACCTGGCCTGTGACACATGCTATCACTGTGTCTGGGTATTCATTTTCTGTCAGTCAAACTACACCAGCAGCCCATCAAATGGCTGACCAACAGAGTCCTAAAAATACCACCACCAGCGCCGTGGATAGCTACACAAATTTAGGGTATGTTTCATGTCACTCATCCAGCTAATAGGCATTTGAGCCCCTGGGCACCCCTATGTTGGGGATAGAACAATCATGCAATAAAAATAACCAACCTAATTGCATGAGGAATAGGAGATGGATATCACTGGAACCTTGCAATCATTCTGTCACATCAGAGGACAGTGGCAGGTGTGGCAATGATTGGCTGTGCTGCCCACGCCTGGGTATATATTGGGTCACTCCCAAAGGGACTCTGGTTACATGGCACAAATCTTTGGCTGTGGCTTCCACCTGGGAGGTTGGCCTGATGCTCCCTGGGTTTTCCCTGGGCACAGGAGAGAACCCACCCCATAGTAACACACACTGCCAACCTCCCTCTCCTTGAGGCCAGATGAGCATGTTTTGTTTACCACGAGTATGATCATTTGGCCACAGTCTTTGTCCCTTCTGCTGGCCTGGAGCAAGACTTAAATGAGAGCTGGCAGGGCCTGTCATTACCAAATACTGAAATCTCTAATGAGAAAAGCTGTCCTCCCAAACAGGATGGACTTGGATGTTATACAGCCCTGGAGGGGGCATCTGTGTCATGATCTAAACAGACTGTTGTGTGTTCACACCCGATGAGTCTGCTTTATTAAGTCACAGGAGTACACAAGTGAATGTTCCAAATGAGCCAAAACTTGGCCTAGGGGACTTTAAAAACCAGTAGTTTGGATGATGAGGCTTTTTTTTTTTAAGTCTTCATTGAATTTGTTACAATATTGCTTCTGTTATATGTGTGTTTTGTTTTTTTTTTTTGGCTTTGAGGCATGTGAGATCTTAGCTCTTTGACCAGGGATGGAACCCACCCCTGCATTGAAAGGCAAAGTCTGAATCGCTGGACTGCCAGAGAAGCCCTGATGAGACTTTTAATAGGAAAGCATGTGACTTATTTTGGGAATCATTATCTTAACCTGTGTCTTCTCCTGCATCTGCCTGTATTGTTGCTGCCTCCGGTGCAGCCAGAGAGTCACCAAATTAGTGAAACCCTTTGATGACCGCTCAGGTGAAAATTGTGGGGGGGATAAAAGGGGGCGTGTAAAATTGTAAGGGCCGGTTGTGGGGGTGGTGTGACCGCTGGTTCACCCTTGAGCTGGATCCAGACAGGGGGAGGCTCTTCCCCTCCTTCCGCCGTGTCCCGCGAATGTATATTTCACCTGCCGTTCCTACACTGGGAGCCATTTTCAAGGACACAGGCTTGAGAGAGAGCAGTGTGTTGTTGAGACTGTCTGGATGCACACGTAATTGAGCCCCCTTGAGAGCTGGACTGTGAAGAAAGCTGAGTGCTGAAAAATTGATGCTTTTGAACTGTGGTGTTGGAGAAGACTCCTGAGAGTCCCTTGGACGGCAAGGAGATCCAACCAGTCCATCCTAAAGGAGACCAGTCCTGGGTGTTCATTGGAAGGCCTGATGCTGAAGCTGAAACGCCAGTACTTTGGCCACCTCATGCGAAGAGTTGACTCATTGGAAAAGACCTTGATGCTGGGAGGGAGAAGGGGACGACAGAGGATGAGATGGCTGGATGGCATCACCGACTTGATGGGCATGAGTGGTTTAACTCCAGGTGTTGGTGATGGACAGGAAGGCCTAGCGTGCTGCGATTCATGGGGTCGCAAAGAGTCGGACACGACTGAGCGACTGAACTGAACTGAACTAAGGCTTCTGTATAAACTGTTAAGAGGCTTGGGTAGTGTGGACAGATACCCATCTTGTGGCTGCTGAAGACAAACCTCGTAAGTTCCCTTGCTTGAGAAAACTGCTACCTACCCACCTGGGGTGGGCTGCCTGCTTCTTGGGTCTCTCCCTGTATCTTCATGTTCGGCGCCCATTTTGGATATCGACACCTAGAATAGTCAAGTTTGCAGAGACAGAAAGTAGAACAGAAGTTACCAGGGCCAGGGGGGCGCAGATGGGGAGTTATTTGGGATGGAGTTGCAGTCTGGGATGATGAAAAAGTGCTGGAGGTAAATGGTGGTGATGTTTACATGATATCGCAAACAGACGTAATGCTGTTGAACTGCACACTTAAAAATGGTTAAAATGGCAAATTTTATTGTTACATACATTTTATCATAATAAATACTTGAGGCCATGAATGTATTCGTTCAATGAGAAATAACCGATACGGTAACACAGGGCTTGATGTTTTTAACATCTGGCCCTCCTGAAACAGCCCTGACCCCTCTGAGGGTTTTACAAACTCCTTCAGGAACTTAACTCAATTTTTCAGTTGATTCCTCTCTCAGAGGACTCAAAATCAAGCCCGGGGTGTGTTACCAATGCCAACCTTCATTCTATATCACTTTCCTTGCTCAGGAGCATCCGTCCACTGAAAATATAACCTCTGCCTCTTTAGGTACTTTTCTGTCCCAGTATTGCAAGAAAAGCCAGGAGACCACATGTCAATGAGTTTTTTTTTTTTCATTTATTTTTATTAGCTGGAGGTTAATTACTTTACAATATTGTAGTGGTTTTTGTCATACATTGACATGAATCAGCCATGGTTTTACATGTATTCCCCATCCCGATCCCCACTCCCACCTCCCTCTCCACCCGATCCCTCTGGGTCTTCCCAGTGCACCAGCCCCGAGCACTTGTCTCATGCATCCAGCCTGGGCTGGTGATCTGTTTCACCCTAGATAATATACATGTTTCGATGCTGTTCTCTCGATGCTGTTCTCTAGATGTACAGAACAGAATTTTGGACTCTGTGGGAGAAGGCGAGGGTGGGATGTTTAGAGAGAGACAGCGTCAATGAGTTTTAAGAGGTGCTCACAGGGGTCACCAGCTCCCCTTTTCAGGATCCAAGCCTGATCCAGGAATTGTTGCCGAAATTTGACCTCTGTGTACCCATGTGGGTTCAAATCTTGGAGACAGAGCTTTGGGTGAAATAAAAATAGCGTTATTAAAAAACCTTTTTTTGGCCACGCCAAGTGGCATGTGGGATCTTCTCCTACCAGAGATTGAACCAGTGCACCCTGCATTGGGAGCACAGAGTCTTAACCACCAGACTTCCAGAGAAGTTCCCAAAAGAGATTTATTACTAAGCAGGGAGTCCAGAGTAGCTAGTGCTTAAAAGATTTGAACTCTCCCAGAGGCTTTCAGGGCAAGGTTTTTTAAAGACGGGGTGAGGAAGAGGGGTTTAGGGATGTGTTATCAGCTCATGAACATTCTTCTGACTGGTAGGTGGTGAAGTAATTGGGAGTCACCATCATCAACTTAGTGGTTCCAGCTGGTCTGGGGTCTATGTGCTTGTGGACTGCATACAGTTAATTTCTTCCACCTGGTGGGGGCTTCAGTATCTGCAAAACAGCTCAAAGGACATGGCTCAGAATATTATCTAGAGCCCTTGAAAGTGAAAGTTGCACAGTTGTGTCTGACTTTTTGTGATCTCATGGACTGTAGCCCACCAGGCTCTGCCCATGGGATTTCCCCAGGCAAGAATACTCGAGAGAATTGCCATTCCCTTCACCAGGGGATCTTCCCGACTCAGGGGTCAGACCCAAGTCTCCTGCATTGCAGGCAGATTCTTTACCGTCTGAGCTGCTAGGGAAGCCCTTGAGGAGGAACTAAAGGCCCTTGAGTTTGTTTAACGGCTACGTTATTATTGTTTTGTCTTGCTTGACTATTTCCCTTTCATTCTGCATTTTCTAACTTCTCTGATTAAGTTTGTTCTATGAGTAAAGTTTTTATACAGACAAAAGGCAGGCAGAGATCATGGGTGGGAGGGTCTATTCCGGGAAGGCCTCGTAGGGTCCTGCTGAGTTATAGAAGGACTCACCAGTGTAATAAAAAAGATAGATCATATTATTCTGAAATTAACTGTGTACCTTGTGTTTATTCCCCTTAAAGGAAGCTAGTAGAAGGGAGGGCACTGATTCAAGTGTGTATATTCCTAGCCTCTGGGCTTCTCTGGTGGCTCAGATCATAAAGAATCTGCCTGAAATGTGGGAGACCTGGCTTCGATCCCTGGGAGAGGACGATCCCCTGGAGGAGGGCATGGCAACCCACTCCAGTATTCTTGCCTGGAGAATCCCATGGACAGAGGAGCCTGGTGGGGTCCATATGGTCGCAAAGAGTCGGACATGGCTGAGCAACTAACACACACACATTCTTAGCCCCTAACACTGTGCCAGACACATAGGAGTAGGTGTTCAGTGAATTTTTTCAGCTGGAGATATTCAAGGCAATTAAACCAATTTAACATTTAGTTACACCTCTATTAGTTATCTATTGCTGTGTAGCAAATTACCTGAAACTCAATGGTTTAAAGTAAAATTAATCATATATTATCTTTTACAATTTTGCTGAGTCCAAATTTTAGGCATAGCACAGGTGAAATGGCTCTATGATGGCTGGGGGCCCCAAGGCAAGGCTCAGAGGCTGGGGGCTGGAATTGTCTGAAGGTTCATTTGTTCACATGTCTAGTGCTTGACAGTGGGTCACCACACGTGGCCTTTCCATGTGGCCTGGGCTTCTTCCCAACATGTTGACTGGGTTTCGAGGGTAAGTATTCTAAGAGACAGAGAGAGAGAAAGCCTTGTATAACTTACCTTCAGAAATCACACTACATCATTTTTGTAACATTTAGGATAGTTACAAGGTGTGTCTGTGTTCAAGGAATGGAAGGTAGACTCTAACAGAGGCGTGTCAATGTCACTTTGTACGAAGAGCGTGGGAGATGGGTTTGTGAATTACATGTGCCACAGTGGCTCAAAATCTGCCCAAAATATGAGAGACCTGGGTTCGATCCTTGGGTTGGGAAGATCCTCCAGAGGAGGGCATGGCAACTCTCTCCAGTATTCCTGCCTAGAGAATCGCCATGGATAGAGGAGCCTGGCAGGCTCCATGTGGCCGCGGAGTGGGACATGATCGAGGGACTAAGCCCAGCACACAACAGCACAATGTCTATAATTGGTCAGGTACCGTGTTAATGCTTTTTCCCTTTAGAATATCTACTTCAGCTTTTTTAGTAAAGAAATCAACGATGGCAACATTCTTTTGCTCCGTTCTTCTACTTCAAGTTCTTGTAAATGTAAAAAAGCAGAATATAATTGGCTGTGTTTTTCATGATTCAAGGTTGATTTACTTATTAATATGCTTGCTCAACAAATATTGATTTGAGCACCAACAGCTAGATGCTAAGGTAGGTGCTAAGGAGAGAGGTGAATGAAACAGAATTGGTTTCTACCCAGGTGGCCTGGTTGGTGGTGGAAGAAAGCCTTGTGACCATTAATTTATTTATGTGTAGATTCTATACCGAGTCATCAAATAATAGTCATAGATTGATATGACTTTCATGAAGGCCACCCTTATTTCTTGGTAGGGCCATGGCAACCAAGTGGCTGACCATTCTAATTTTAAAACTATCCAGGGAAGAGAGAAAGTTCCTGATGATAAAGGTTTATGGCAATTTAAGCTCATTTTTCTTTTGCCTAGTTTTCTGTGAAGCCACAAAAGTAGTCAGGTCTCTCTTTACAAGCACTCATTACACATTAAGTAGTTGTTATTGATCACTTGTTAGCTCTTTACTTTTCTGGCTAATTTTTCTCAACTTTTAACTTTTCCTTAAGGGGTGATTATCTATTTTGTAAACATTTAAATATCTTGTCTTCTTCCTGTAGGGAAATTCAAACTGTACACAGAATTTTGGATAAAGTCAAGAAGGCAAGAAAGTGCAAGGTTAACTTGCGGGCCTACCAATGCTGTATTTCTGTGAGTATACACTGATAATACTGGCTTTTAATGTGATACCGTGTTGTTTGTACTTACATTGAAGTTTGTTGACTCTGATTCCTCTTCTTTGTAATGTAGCTCCCAACTCATGTTTGGGAAAAAGAAAAGTTTTTTGTTTTTGTTGAAATAGAGTTGGTTCACAATATTGTATTAGTTTCATGAATATAGCAAAGTGATTCAGTTATATATATATTTTTTTTCAGATTATTTTCCATTATAGGTTATTACAAGGTATTGAATATAGTTCCTTATGCTATACGGTATATTCTTGTTGTGTATTTACTTTGTGTACAGTGGTTTGTGTATACTCCTGGTTTATCCCCTCCCCCTGCCCATCCTTTTTCCTTTGGTAATCACAGGTTTGTTTTCTATTTCTGTGAGTCTATTTCTGTTTTATGTATAATTTCATTTGTATTATTTAGATTCCATATGTAAGTAATATCATATACGTCTTTCTGTTTTACTTAGTATGATATTCTTTAGGTGCATCCATGTTGCTGCAAATGGCAATATTTCATTCATTTTTATGACTGAGTAATATTCCATTGTATAAATATATCCACCACATCCTAAACCAATCATCTGTCAATGGGCACTTGAGTTGCTTTCTTGTGTTGGCTGTGGTGAACAGTGCTGCTATAAACATTGGGGTACATGTGTCTTTTCGAGTGAGAGTTTTCATCTTTTCAGTATGTATGCCCAGGAGTCACATTGCTGGATCATATAGTTTGTGTTTTGTTCTAAAATGTTCATGTTAATCTCTTATCATCAGAATTAACATCTTAAATGAAATTACTGGGATCCTATTTTT